GCTGAGCTAAATCCCCAGCCCCGATTCCCTTGTTAACACAGGAAAGAAGAGCCTATTTGTTGAAGTCTGCTCTACAGTTGCAGTATTTGGATCTTGTGAAGACTGGTGCATCACAAAAAATCCTGCACTGTTTGCTCCCAAGCATTTGACCTAGAGATGTGAAATAGACGGCAGAAAAGCAAAATGTCCCCAGAGAGAACGCCTTTGTAACCCCCACTGAGCTTCTGTCCCCTGTCCAGTTACTAGATTTTTGCAAATGTTTTCCCTTTATAACCCTCAGTCTCCTGTAGACTGTTCATGTTCCCACTATCCTTCTGCGTTGACAGTTCCCGGAGGAAAAGCCCAACATTCTTGGAGGAGTGTGTCATTGTGAGCATTCCTGTACTCAGCTGTGCGGTTCAGTCTGTCTCCTTTCAAAGAGAGAGAAATGCTACTTTCTGCTGGAGTTCTGTCCGTCTTGCCTTGAGGTCCCTTCCCCCAAGACCTTCGACTGCATTATATTGTAGAAGCTGGGAGCACACACTCTGCTTCTCTTCTTTTCATGTTAATCTCCCTTTACTTCCCCAACAGGAACTCGGAAAATATTTCGCACTGTAAGTCTGGGAGGATACCTTGAAGCCTCAAAGTTTTTCTCAGACCTTCTGTCCTCTCTTTCCGGCCACCTTCTCCCCCAGGCTGTAGAAACTAGAATTTCTCTTCCCCAAGGCAGGCCATAAGAACTGGAACATCTTTTCCACGAAGTAAGACATAAAACCTAGAAACATTCATCTTTCCATCTTTCTCCCACCTACCCTTTAAAACAATTCTCGGACCTACTTTGATAAAGATCGCAAGACCTCCGCCAATTCCAGAAGGGGTCCTACCCCTTACCTGAGGGAAGGAGATGCTGTGCAAAGAGACGAAGAAGAATCTGGAGAGACAGGCTTGCTGGTTTTTCCCCTCATGCTGTAACCAGGAAAGCTTTACTATTCAGTCATATTGCTACATAGCTGTCCATGCCTCCCTAAACCTAAGAATAAAAATCGTCGTTATTGGGCGTGGTGATGCACGCCTGTAATCCCAACACTTGGGAGGCTGAGGCAGGAACATCGTTTTGAGTTCAGTGCCAGCCTGGGCTTCAAAGTGAGTTCAAGACCATCTTGAACTGCATAGTGAGACCGTCTCAAAAAGCCCCCCACCAAAAAAAAAAAAGATAGTTTACAGTGGGCCTTTCATCTTTAGTGGAAGGCTCTTGTGTAATGTGACGCTTTGATCAAATAAATGTGCTACCTTTCCTTCTGTTAGTGTCTGTTGGGTGTTAGATGGTGAGCAGGAAGCAGATCAGTCCCTCAGCAAAGGAGCTATTCAGAGAATAATTGTTTTAGGTGCTTCTATAGACCAAACTCCTTTTATTCTGCAAATGTAATGGAACATGCTGAGGAAGCAGAAATAGCTTCTGCAAAGTTCTGTGGCTCTGGTGTATTTGGTGTAGTGATGAAATCAAGTGCCAAGGAGGTAGGGGAGATGGGCGATTTATGTTTTAGCTGGCTTTGTCTGCAGTGGAAGATGGCCTAGTAGGGACTTGAGAGAAATGGACATGTTTATACTCGAAATAGGGGATAGTCTGACAGGAGTTTGTGATTGCAGGTAAGGGAGAGGGGTCGTCATCCCTGCAGTGTAACCTTTTCTAATAGTGTGGCTGGTGGCTTTATTTCTCACTGTCACAGTGAAGAGAATACACAGCCTTCTATCATCAGCTGTTTGGGACCTAGTGATTATGCTATACCGAACAGAAACACTGAAACAACACCGAGGATTTGGAGGCAGATTTATTTACATCGACAGACACTGATTGGGATCATTTCCAAAGTATCAGGCCCTGATCTCTGGTGGTCTAGGGTTTATATGGGATAAGCAAGCAGGAAGTACCGAGGCAGAATGGCTTGTCAATTGGGGATTGGTTCTTACAATAAGCATCAAGTGACCAGCTATGCATCACAACGACCAGTTGTTTATAAGAAACAGAAGCAGCAGGAACTGTAACAGGAACTATTACCTGGGCACCTAACAAACTGAGGTGTACCGGTGTTGGGGAGTCACCTTCTACTACAGTTAGGAGACGCACTTTGCCATCGCACTGAGGCTCACAGAGCCACTCATGCAAGTGAGTCACCCTTTTTGGCCGAGGTCTCAAGACGCTGTGGGAATGAAGTGCATTACTGAATGGCTACCACTTAGTTTGGTGTCTTGCTTGGGGCAGTCACTAAATTACAGCTGTCGTAGAAGTGACCTTTCCTGCCTTCACTTCCAGTCATCAGTAAAGACAGGGACAGAGCACAAGCAAACATGAAAGGCTTATTGGCTCTCAGTACTACCACGAGGAGTGGGCTTTGTGGCCTTGTACCCGCCTCCATTGTAAGCTGGCTCAGAACAGCATGCTCCCTAAAACAGCACGAACAAAGTAAATTTCCCCTCTGCAGGAGGACGTGGGGCCAGAAGCTCAGAACACCCCTGGCACAGGCGCAGAGGCCCCGCTGTGAGAACGCGGCAGAAGACTGAGGACTACTACAGCCCCTGCCTTGCTGAAGACTGGCTTTGTGTTTTTATGCTCCAAATAGAATAAAGCCAAGCCACAGTCTGCTTCCTTTCTTTTATGCCTCGTCCAAAGTCTCTTTCAACAACTACTTTACAGATACTTTGATTCCCATCTATCTTATGTGGTGGTTTTGATCAAAACAGCACGTGAAGGCAGCATTCCTGACACAAAGCCTTATTTAATTCTCCCTTTCCGAGCACTGCACCCGGGAAATACTGAGGCAGCGATACAGTTCCCCACAAAGTTGCCGACAGGCGAGGACCAGCGACCCCTCGGCGCTCTGCTGCTCCTGCCTCCCAGTGCGACCGGTCGCGGTTCGGCAGGCGGACGCGGGACGGGCTCAGGAGCCGAAAGCCACCGCCCGCCCTTTCCTAGCTCCGACCCTGCCGGCACTAAGAATCGGCGGTGCGCAAGCGCACTGGGAGTAACTCCGCTGTCCTGGCAGGTTGCGACGTAGCAGCCGGGGATGCGCAGACGCACTGGGAGAGGATGCGGGGGTGGTGGTGGTGGTGGGACTGGCGGGATGCTGACCGCTCGATCCTCTGCTGCTCCTGCCTGCCAGTTGCTAGGAGTCCGGGTAATGCGCAGACGCACTGAGGGCAGCTGTGGAGCAGGCCGGGCTCGGCACTCTGCTGCCCTTGCCTACCGGTTGCTAGGAGTTGTGGACGCCGCGGGTTGGCCGCCGCCTAGCAGCAGGCCCCGGCCATCCCCCGGAGCTGGGGCTGGCGGGTTCGTCTCTTTGCAGGTGGTCCGCGCCTGGCCAGAGCCGAGGGCACCGCGCTCTCCCGGGCCCGTGAGGAGCGATGGAGCCTGGGAAGGTCGGTGCGTGGCTGAGTCGTGGGAAGGGGGATGCGGTGCGTCCTGCTCTGCGTGATGCCGCCTGCACCCGGCTCGGGATGGATGAACTTGTCAGGCTCCTGCGCGGGATTCGGGGCCTGGGCCGCGGGCGGGGACTTGTGGGCGCGAGGAGCAGTCCCAGCCCCTTCCTTGGAGCAGCGTTTCCCCCTTAGCTGGGGCTGGAGATCTCGGGCCATGGAGTGGGATGTGCCCAAGGGCGGGACGCTAGGAGTGTGGCTGGGACTGGCGTGAGTGGCGGGCGGTTGTAAGGGGCGCCTGCGTCGGGCGCGTCTGAGAGGCCGCATCTAGAGGCGTGTCTAGGGCAGGAGTGAGGAGCAGAATCTAAGGCAAGTGTCAGGGGCCGGATCTAGGGCAAGTGTGAGGGGCAGAGTCCAGGGGCGTGCTTGGGGCGGGGCCCAGGGCAAGGTGGGCGGCTGTGGTGAGGGGCGGGGCTGGGACACGTCCAGGTGGGAGTGAGGCGTGTGGTGTAGGAGCATCTTTGAGGAGCGGGATCAGTGATCTGAGGGCCTTGGCCAAGGGGTGTCTGAGCAGCCAGGTCTAGGCACAAGTCCTCGGGCGTGTCCGAGGGGCAGGGTTAAAGCGGTGTCTGAGGGCTGGGTCCAGGGATAGGCTGAGGGGCGTGGCCCAGAGGGTGTGCGTGTGGGACGGGGTGCAAGCCCAGGATGTGCAGTGGGGTCTCCACTCAACTCCAGCTCTGGGCCCCACCTACCTTCTGTGCCTATCCAGAGGCAGGTAGGGAAACGAGGCAGGGCTGACTGAGCATTTCTTCCGGGGAAGCACAGGACGCCTGCGTGTCAGGCACTCAAAGTCCGAACAGTATTGAACAGTACAGCGTTTGAAAGCTTCCTTTTCCACTGTATAAGGTGAACGAGTCTTGACTACTCTTGGTTTTCTTTTTGCGGTACTGGAGCTCGAACCCAGGGGCACTCTACCCGTGAGCTGAGCTGAGCTGAGCTACATCACCAGCACCCGCTCCCCTGTCCCCTGTGCATTTTCAGGCAGGGCCTCCCTAAATTGTCCAGGTAGTATTCGAACTTGTGATCCTCCTGCTTCAGCCTGCCTCTGTGCTGGGAATACAGGCGTGCGCCACCACTCCTGGCTTCGCAGCTCTTATGTTTAGTACCTCTGGCGGTTGCCGCTGTTACTTTAGTGTGTGCTGACACCTTCCTTTCTTCTCCCACCGAGTTCAGCCCTAGTGGGACCCAACTCTGTCCTGTGCGGCGATCCCTATGGAGGCTTGGTGTCTGCCTGGTCCAGTTTGTAGCTCCAGGCTGTAGCCGGCTGCTCAGCACCAGGAAGGTGACTGCTGCAACTTTGAAACCATTGTAAACTGTAAAATTGATTCCACTTTAGATGTAAATAGTGAGGTGCCACAGCTTCTGGAGGTTGAAATAGTGGGCTGGATGCTTGAGTTTGAATTCTGGCTTCTGTGTTTTTCTGTGTGGCTATGGGAAAGTTACTCAAGATGCCTTTTTTTCTGGTCGGTGAAAGGAGCAGGGTAATAGGAGCAATGCCAGTGTTGAGGCGTGGGGGTTAGTGAGATGAAATTTAAAAGTACTTAGGATGGTACCTACTGATTTATTAACACTCAGCAAGGTTAACTATTGTTATTTTTGTCTAGTGATTGCCCAATAAAAGATGAAGAATTTAGTTTGCATACATTTCTTCCTCCTTTCTCTCCGGTTTGCAATCACAATGTCATCTGAAGGCTTAATTAGGCCGTGGGTTTCCTTCTACTACAGCTGTGGGGCTGGTGCTTCTGTGTCCTCATAGCATGGTGGTTGCTTCTCTCAGAGTGAGGGATCTCGCATAAGCCCCAGCAGGAGGCAGGTAGTTGTCACCCCACTCTCATCATTAAGGGTGAGTCACTGAATCTGACCTCATTTATGGGAAGAAGAATTGGAGACATGCAAAGGAGAGTTGTTGAATTAGCAGACTGCTTTCAGATCACCACACCATGTTTAGCATTTCCCTTCTGCTTAGAGTAGCTCAGGTGGTTGATGAGTTAACTGCCCTGGTGCTCCTTCACCTGGACCCACAGTTCATATTTTTTCATGGCTGACCTTGGTGATGCTGCTATGTGCTGAACAGACCCATCCTGAAGGCTGGGGACTGAAAGAGATTTGATCTGTGCTTCACTGTTAGCTAGAGAGGTGGATGATGCTTGGAAGTCAGCTGGAGAGATGTGTTCCTGCCTAAGAGAGATGCAGAGACATGATCATATTGGAGGAAAGCTGGAGAGAAAGCTTGAAAGACAGCTTGTCCGACCAGGTGCAGACACTGCGATTCCAGCAAACATGAGAAGGGTGCAATGCAGGTTTCTGCAGGCACCAGTGTAGCTTCCGCGTATGCAGAGCTTGTGTGTGCTGGGAACCTGTGTGTGTTTGCTGAGTGAGTGTAGATGTTCACGGGGGATGGAGACATGGTTGGGTTTGTGAGCTCCCAGGTGCCCCGGGGAAACAGACAAAATTGTTGGGCCACACGGTGGGGACAGGCAGGCTTGTTTCACTGTGACCATCATTTGCTCATTCATTCCACAGGTATTTTTCCAGTTGCTATCAGGGGTCTAGCAATGTGTGGGTGTCTGGAGATGAAACTGGTTAGATCCTCTATACCTTGGTGTCCTCATGTGGAAAATGGAGCCCATGACCTTCTTAACAAGGACCATGACATTCAGAGGGTGTGTCTTGACTCAGTACAGCATTTCTGTCTGTCCATACTTCCTAGGCACTATTTCTACATGGAAAGTCACTCCAAACTTTGTTGTGCAAACTATCAGCAGTCCTTGTAGTTTGCTTGTGCATCTGTGTGTCAAGACATGGAGCAGGGACAGCAGGGACAATGTGGTTCTGCTCGCTGACCTCTGGGGTCAGAGCTGCAGGACGTAGGCTTGGGGAAGTTGTACCAGTTCACAGGTGGAACACATCGTGTGGGCTCCTGAGCTCTCTCATTTCTGGCCTCTGGTGTCTGTGGGGCTCTAAGGGTGCTTGGCCTCTACTCCTCAGCTGCTCCTTTCCTCACCTGAGTCCTCGAGCAGCAGCTTGTGTGTCTGATTTCACTTAACATATGGTCTCAAGGTGACACAATTATTTTAAAACCACAAAATATTTATTTCTGACCTGTTAAGATGCCAGTGTAACTTTCCCCCTTCAGTTTGTAACATTTAATGATTTTGAATTATCCAAGGGGTGCATTCTATAGTTATGGATGATTTTAGGTAGTTAAATAGTTCCTTCCCCCACCCCAGTATTGGGGATTGAACTCAGGGCCTTTGCACTCAGCTACATCCCCAGCCCTTTTTCATTTTTTTATTTTGAGACAGAGTGTCCCTAAATTTCTCAGTTGCCCACGTTGGGCCCAAATTTGCAATCTTCCTGCCTCAGACTCTCTGAGTGCTGGAATTATAGGCATAAACAACCATATCCAGTTTAATTTTTAAAATCTGTATTTTACCATCTTTTGTTTCAGTAGGTCAAAAAGGATTTTCTTGCTTATCAATAATCAATTACCATCAGTTTAAATAGTGTAATGGAAAGCAACTCATGAGAATAGACAAAATTAGTTATTTTACACTTTAAAAATTCTAACTGTGTACTTTCTTTTTAGAGACGAACCAAAGATGATACTTGGAAAGCAGATGACCTCAGGAGACACCTCTGGGTAGCGTATTTTAGAGTTCAGCTGGGGTCCAGATGGGTGCCCCCTGCTTGGCTCCTCTTGTACATAGCATGTTTAGAGTGCATGTGGATCAAAGGTAGAGCTGTGTGGCTGATGCTGCAGCCGTAGAGGAATGGGACGAGGGCACTCTTGTCACAGTGCCTGCAGCTCAGGGTTCCCTACTGCTGCAGGCAGCATGGCAGGGCTGAGGGGCAGCCATAGTCCCCAGGTGTGTAGTAAGGGCCCTGGTTTTAATAACACCAGCTGGCTCTTGCCTCGGTGGCATTAAAACAGCTTCATTATATCCTGTTCTTTCTAATCCTGTCCTGTTTGGGGTTTGAGCGGCCAATAAATATGAATGCCTCTGGCATGGAATTCCATTCAACAGTTACAGAAGTGCTAAGCATGACTCTAATTACTTTAGGGTTCTAAGAATATTCATTTAGGGCCCTTCACATCTTGCTGTATTTGAAAGCAGTTGAATCAAAGCGTTTTCAATGGATTCTCATATTCAGATGTTAATGGTCAGGGGCCTGTGTGTGGCTGAGCAGGACAGTGCTTGCCCAGCATGTGCCAGGCCTTGGGTTCCATCACCAGCCCTGAAAGAAAGCAAGGTCATCCGTAGAAATGTGCCCTCCTCTCACGGAGACCCCTTCTCCTGTCATCTTAGGCTGTGCAGTTGGGTGGTGCCAAGGAAGAGAAGAAGCACAGAGAAAAGCAGCTACATAAGGAGTCGGAAGTGGACATCCCTGACCACAAAGAGCACAGGGATCCAGGCCGAGATGTACAGAGGCACAGGGACAGGGTCACTGACAGAGATGCCCGTACCTCCAAGGAGAATCCTCATGGGGAGAGGGATAGTGAGAGACACAGGGAGAGAAGGAAGGATGCAAAAGACTGGGAGAAAGAGAGGCTGAGAGAGAAACGTCGAGAACAAGATGCAGAGAAGTCTCACAGCAAAGCCAAGGACAGAGAAAAGGAAAAGGACAGAAGGGCGAGGAGAGAGGAGCTCCGGCAGGCCACCGCCCACCACGACCTGCTGGACAGGGTGGAGAAGAAGGTGCGCTCAGGTGCGTCCTCGGTCCCCATGGCTCAGGAGCTGTGTTCTCCCCAGGTGTCGCCCACCTGCCTCTGACAGTGCTTTGTGAGCTGTGATTCCTTTAGCCATGCTTACATTTTCCTCTTTACATATCTTCTGTTCTCCGCTTTGTTTTCTCTCATAGTTTTTATAAATGTTTCGGGTTTGGGTTTTCTGTATGTGTGTGTTACTTTGATATTTTTAATACTTATTTAGTGAAGAAACAAGTTTCTTATTATTTGCTGGCATTTTACTATTGAAACATACAAGAGGTGATCATAATGTGCTGTGATTGTTTACATTAAAGAATTATTACAGTAAAAGTCACATTGCCATGAATCTTCCTCAAAATATGGGCCCCTACCAACTTTGAATATACTTACCTCATCACTCTTGCCACTTTTGGAAGCGGCTCTGGAAGTGCTTTTTCCTGAGTATCTTTATGAGGTGCGATAAAACACATGGTCACTGTTGCTGCTGAGTGCCATGGGACAGAAAGGCAGGCTGCCAGGCTCGTGGTTTTAAACTCCACTTACCTGTTCCTGATTTCCGGGTTTTGGTTCCCAGCTGGGCTTCTCCCTGCTCCCCAGCTGTGTGTCTGCCTGTGCTTTGAGTTCTTATGGAGATTGCAACCCTAACAGGCCCCAAGCTGACCTGGGGGCCTCACCTGATGCAGGTGACGGCAGCAGCACCGTTCCTTTCCTGAGGCGAGAGCCTGGCACATCCGGTCCTTGCCTTCTCGTCCTGCCTCCTGGAGTGTCCTGTGGGTTTTGTGTTCAGGATGTATGCAGAGCCCAGCCCTGCCCTCTGTCCCAGCTTCTAGGAGAGCGGTCAGTGCTCAGTCAGTGTTTTTGAAAGAGTGAACTTCATTCTCATGATCCTTGAAGTTTGATTTTGCTCCCATCTTTTAAAACGTTGATTTTCTTTTCTTTTTAAAAAATAATATGCTTTAAACATTTTTGTTTTTTTATTATAATATGAGCAGGGTTTGGTGTGATAGCTCAACACATGTATATAGCATGCTGAAGTGTCATTTTCCTTTATTGTAAGCCTGATGAGTTTTTGTCTGCAGATTCAGAAATGAACCCCCCCTCAATTCTTTGTTGGATGCTGCCTGGGCACCTCGATAATGGGGTGACCCTCCCAGGTAACCCCTGCACACTGTTGCTTATGCCTCAGCCTCACACTGGGTGGGCTGTGCCTGACCTCCTGCCCCCGTGTCCCTTGGTAGTGGGGTGCCTGGAGGCTGGGATTTCTTTGGGGTTTCCTGTTGGCTGGGATATTTGCCTGAACAGCTTTGCTCTGGTTCCCAGAAACCCTGAGAACATGTTTCAGATGAAGAATATTTTTAGATACATGTTCATAATGGAACATGATTGCAGTCTTCAGCAAGATGGTAGAAGAGCTTTTGGATATGCTGAAATTTGGGAATATGAAAACTGTGTTGTATTTTTGCAGTAAATAAAGTAAGAATTGAAGAGAAAGAAAGGAGAGGTGAAGACCCTGAAGGAGGGGATGAAGATAGAGAAAGAAGATACCGGGAGAGAAAGGTACCCAGGCCAGGCCGGAGGGGGCCTTCCCCTTGCAGTGGAGACTGGGAAGGGTGTACAGGAGAGCTGGTCGGGGTGGGCATTCTATTCTGATTCCAGCAGCAGCCCTGGTGGTGGAAAATTTACATATACAGATTAATAGTAAGAAAATAAAAGTGCCTATTCCTACCCAGAGACCACTGTTGATCATGTTTGGATATGTATCTGATAGATGTATGTAAATGTGTGTGTGTGTGTGTGTGTGTGTGTGTATGTATGTATGTATGTGTGTGTGTATATATATATATTTTTTTTTTTTTTTTTTTTTGAGACAGGGTCTCACGATTAGTTCAGGCTGGATTTGAACTTACTATGTAGCTCAGGCTGGCTTTTGAATTCACAGTTCAGCAGTACTCCTGCCTCCGCCTCCCAAGTGCTGGGATTACTGGCATGTGTATATGTTTTTTTTTTTTAATTGGGTTTTCATTGTTTTATAAGTTGTTTAAACTTAATACATCTTGATCATTTTTCTCAGTTGTCATATTTCTTGAGAGTGTTTAATCAATGCATAAATTAATATTTAGTGATGTAGATATTTTAGTTCTTTTGACATGTCTGATGCTTTTGGACATATAAGTTGCTTCTAAATTCTTTTCATGGTCCTGAGGAGACCTCTTTCCCACCCAGAGGTACAGAAGTGCGGTGTGCCTTGTTCTGGGTCTTCAGGGTTTTTGGTAAAGGTTTTTGAACTGTGGCAAACTGAAGAGATTGGTCAGAGCCCCCCATTCTCTGTAGGAAGGCTCTGTGGTAGAGATCAGCGCTTGGACTGGAAATGGGGAGAATGGAGGAAGGACACACAGCCCCCGGAAGAGTGCAGGGACCCTGCGTGCAGGGATGAGGAGGTGGTGTGGACCGGCTCCGGTGACCCAGTGCGAAAGCTTAGGACAGCTTGATGATGCTCCCACAGCTGGGTCTGAGCCCAAATCCCGACACTGTCATAACCCACTGTACAGCTGATGGTGGATGCCACCCATCCCTGAGCATCCATGGTGTCTCCTGAGGGTACTGGGCTGGCTGAATGATGGCACCCCCCTTTTTAAGACTGCCCACCTATGTGGGACTGACAGCGAAAGAGTGGTGCACTGCATCATTGCAGAACACGGCAGCCTCAGGCTTGGTGCTCACCAAAGGGACCGCCTTTCTAGGGAGTAACTCCAGCTGGGGAGCTCAGGTGAGGTGCAGAGTGAGAATGCTATAGAGTTACAAAGGGGGCTGGATTGCTTTGCTAAGTGCAGGAGTCAGCTTCCTGGTCCTGTAATAAAATACTTCAGATGATTGACTAATACAGAGAAAAGAGCCAAGTGTAGTATAATTCCAGCTATGTGGGAGAATGGGGCAGGAGGATCACAAATTTAAGTCCAGCCTGGATAACTCAGGGACTGGGGATGTAGCACAGTGGAGGGGCACCTAGGCTCCATGTCCAGGATTGGGGCAAAGAATAAAGCTTCCCTTTGGCTCCCCGTTGTGGACTGTCCAGTGTGCGATCAGCAGCCCGACTCTTTTGGGCCTGTGGTGAGGTACTAGGTCGGGGTGGAACAACTGGCTCAGATCACAAGCCTGGGTCCCCATCCCCTTCCAGTGCTTGCCCCAGTGGTGTGAGGACCTCGCCCAAGGCCCCACCTCCCAAAGACACAGCTCTTCTCACACTGCCACCCTGCAGGCTGAGTTTCCGTCCTGTGCTGCAGTGCACAGCATCCAAACCGCCACACTGCTGTCCACACAGCCAGGGCTGTTGGGCGGGCGGTGAGGAAGGAGTCTGACAGCAGGCGTGGAGGGAAGGCGTGCGGCCATTCTGAAGTCTTTCCCACTTCCTCCTGTGAGTTCTCATGCATTTCACTGCCATCCCGCAGCTGCAGTATGGCGACAGCAAAGACAACCCTCTCAAGTACTGGCTCTATAAAGAAGAAGGGGAGAGACGACACAGGAAGAAACATGGAGAAAAAAGCAGCACCAGAGAAAAAAGAGAAAAGTACTCCAAAGAGAAGAGTAGCTCGTTCTCTGACAAAGAAGGGGAAGAAAGACGCAAGGAGAAGCGACATAAAGAAGGCTTTCATGCTGAGGAGGAGAGGCACCGAAGCAATGTGGAGAGGAAAGAGAGGTCGTCAAAGGAAGAGCACAGGAAGAGGGAGCCCGAGGTATGGTGTTGATGCTTTGTTGCTTTTGCGGCCACTCCAGGGTTGGCTCACAGAAAGTGCACAGTGGACACGGAGCCAGGTCGTGGTCGGGCACACAGCCTGACCGCAGTAACTGAGGCGAAAGTGCCCAAGTCTCCCTGTGCAGTCAGCAGAGAGACACAGTGGTCTTTTAATGAATATGAACTCAGACCTTCTGGTTATATTGTGAATGCACTTTTGGTCTTGTTGGCTTGTCTTTTTGGTGTACTGGGGATTAAACCCCTTCAAACTGAACTACAACCTTGGCCTTTTTTTGGTTTTAAAATAGGGTCTTGCTAAATTGCCAGGTTTCTCGGGCTAGACTCAAACTCGTGATCCTCTTCCCTCAGCCTCTGGGATTATAGGCATGCACCTCCATGCCTAGCTTGCAAATAATATACTTTTAACAGAGATTTGGAAATCTATTATAAAGCTTTGAAATTTAACATTTAAAAAAAACTTTTTTTTTTAAACAGGTCTTGCTTTATAATCCAGACTAGCCTTGAACTCACTGTGTAGCCAACTCAGGCTGGCCCCAAACTCAGTGATTGTCCTGCCTCACCCTCCTGAACACTGGGATTATAAGCATACACCAACATGCTCTGTGGAAGTTGATTTTTTTTTTTTATTTTACAGAGAATACAAAAAAAAGAACATTAAAAACAATACAGAATTTCAAAACAAGATGATAGGTAATCAACAATGGTTGTTATATTGCACGTTGCTATCTTCAAAGTAGTTGTTCAGATTGCCAGATGTAAGCATGCACAACTGGTCAAAAAAATTAAGAAAAAAAAAAAAGCATTAACTGTTCCTTTCAATAAACCAACAGAACTTAGTAGTACAATTATCTTAGCTATTTTGTATGTGTATATATATTGTTTTCCTTCTTTGTTTCTTGTCTCCTTTCCCTCACTCCAGTTATTCCTTCCCATTGAGCAGTTTCCCTTTCACGATACCTATTGTATTTCTTGGATTTTGTTTACTCTTTCAGTTTCTTATACTAGAGAGACAATATAATGTTCACTCACGCAATTCTGATTTATTTCACTTATGACTATGGTCTCAAGTTGCATCCATTTACCTATAAAAGCCTAGAGTTTATCTTTCTTTATAGCTGAGTAATACTCCATTGTAGATAGAAATGCCACATCTTTTTTATCCATTCCTCAGTTGATGGGCATTTAGGCTTTTTCCAAGATTTTGCTATGGCAAATGGTGCTGCTATAAACATGGGTGCATATATATTGCTGTGGTATGATGTTTTCAATTCTTCTGGGAAAATACCCAGAAGGGGACTAGCTGGGTCAAATGGGACCTCTAATTCTAATTTTTTGAGGAATCTCCACACTGATTTCCACAATGGTGCGCCAGTCTGTACTCCCACCAACAGTGGAGAAGGGTTCCTTGTTATTGATTGATTTTTTGATGATAGCCGTTCTGGGGTGAGATGGAATCTAAGTGTTGTTTTAGTTTGTGTTTCTTGAGTGATCAATGATGTTGAACATTTTTAAATATATTTATTTGCCATTTGTATTTCTTCATCTGAGAAGTGTGTATTCATCTTCAATACCCATTTTTGGATTGGGTCTTTGAATTTTGGGGTTCTGATTTTTTAAAATTCTTTATATATTCTAGATAGAAGTCCTTTGTCTGAGGAACAGTTGGCTAAATTTTTTTCCCAGTTTGTGGGTTTTCTTTTTACTCTGTTGGTGATTTCTTTTGATTTGCAAAAACCTTTGAATGAGACCCCAGTTGTTGGTTCTTTGAAGTATTTTCTGTGCAGTTTGGTTTTTGATTATAGACTGTGTGCCTATCCCTATGTCTTCAAGATTTCTACTACTTTCTTTTCCAGTAGATTTAGTGTTTCTGTTTTAATATTTAGATCTTTGATCCATTTTGACTTTAATTTAGTGCACGGTGATAGACATGGGTCTAGTTTTAGTCCCTGGCTTGTGGAAAGCCAGTTTTCCCAGCACCATTTATTAAAGAGGGTAGCTTTCTTCCAGTGAACATGTTTGACCCCTTTGTCAAAGATAACGCAGCTGATAATTTGTAATAGCTAGATCTTGGAAACAACCCAAATGCGCATCAACTGAGGAATGAATAAAAAAATGATCTTCTTATATAATGGAGTATTACTCAGCCATAAAGAAGGATAAACTAGAGACTTTATAAGTAAGTGGATGTAATTGGAGACTATACTCCTAAGTGAAATAAACCAGATGCAAATGTGTAGACATATTATCGTCTCCCTAGTGTGAGAAGCTGAAAGAGTAAATGTGATCCAAAATGTACAATAGATAGTGTAAAATGGGAAGAAACTTCAAAAGGAGAGAAACTGGTTTAGGGGAAGGGGAAAAAAGAAGTAAGAGAAAAGCAAAAGGAAAAAATATATAAGTATATACAGAAGATAGTTAAGATAGTTGTGCTGCTGATTTCTCTCACTTCATTGAAGGAATAGGTTTGTGCTAATGTTGTTCGGATAATTAGCTGATATCTTGTACTGATATCTTGTAGCTGATATCTTGGTAAGCAGATTTCAAGATAACAATGTATGATATGTTGACCATTGTTACCCTCCTATCATATTGTTTTGGAATTTGTTTTTTTTTTTTCCTTAAAAAAAAAAAAAAAAAAAAAAAAAAAAATAAAAAGATAAGGTGGCTGAGTGTGTTTGTAGTTGTGCCTATATCTTCTGATCTGTTCACTGATCCTCAGGTATGTTTTTTTGCCAATACCATGCTGATTTGATCACAGTAGCTTTATAGTATAATTTCAAGTTCGGGATTGTGATGCCTCCTGCTTTGCCTTTGTTGCTTAGGATTGCTTTTGCTATTTTTGGTCTCTTCTGGTTCCAGATGAATTTTAGGAATGTTTTCTCTAGATCTGTGAAATATACTGTAGTGTTTTGATCATGATTGCATTGAACCTGTATAACTGTTTTGGGATCATGGCCATTTTCACAGTGTTGGTTCTTCATATCCATGAGCAAGGAATATCCAGTTTCTTTTTTTTTTTTTTGGTCTGTTTGAGACAAGGTCTCACTATGCAGTTATGCAGTTCAGGCTGGCCTTGAGCTCACTTTGTAGCCCAGGCTGGCCTCAAGTTCACAATGATCCTCCTGCCTCAGCTTCCTGAGTGCTGGGATTATAGGCATGTGCCACCAGGCTCCAATATCTTTCCATCTTCTGAAATCCTCTTTGGTCTCTTTTTTTCAGAGTACTGTAATTTTCAATGTATAGATTTTTCCCTTGAAAGTTGATATTTTTTAAAGTAGAAATTAAGCAAATAACTCACAAAATAATGACTTTCAGCCAGGATTGATAGTATAATAGTATAAATTTGCAAAAAACAAACAAAAAAGAATAAAAATATAAAACTGTTGGATTGCAAAGCATCTACTAATGTATGTGATTTGTCCCTATGATTAATATTTTCTTGGACTCAATTTGGTATCTTTTGTTCTCACATATGTACTCCTCACTGCTCTGTTTTATCTGCTTTGAAGCTAGTGTGGTTTTATCATCCTGTTTCTTCATGGTGCTTCCTTAAAATGGGAGCAGAGTCTTCCCAGGAGGGTAGGAGTCCCTAAAGCCGGGGAGGACAGGGTCTTGGCCCAGGCCAGGAGTAGGGTCCAGGATGCCTCTGAAGGCGTTGTGTGTTTATCATTCCCATGAGAACAGCCAGTGTTGGGGAAGGGCTGCTGCCGTCTGCACTGTCACAGTCATGGATCAGAGTTCACAGCACCCTGACCTTGTTCTCCTCACAGCCCTGTTGACCCCGGCACTCTCACCTGCAGCTCGCAGCACTCCTTTTGGGTCAGAATGGTCGTAATTCTTGGCAGTCACAAGACATTACCTAGTTTTTTTTTTGGAGGGCCCACTGGGGATTAAACCCAGGGGCTGCCCATGCTCAGCAAGTGCTCTGTCACTGAGCCATACCCCCCGTTGTCTGAAGATTGAGGCAGGAGGATCACTGCGATTCAAGGCCTGGGCTACATAATGGGTTCAAGCTCATCCAGAACTATGTAGTGAGACCCCTGTTTCAAAGCAAAAACTAAATCAAAATTTAAAATTTTAAGCACTAATAGAGCATCACTTAGGCAGCACAGTTGTTCACGTACTGACTTTCCCCAGTGTCACTATGGAAAGCATCAGTTCAGCCCGGCAATTCTTGTATTGAATTCATTTGATGGAATTGTTGTTTTTGTATTTCCTGTTAAAGATATGCAATTTTTGGTCATCCTATATTTAGATAATTGAACTGGTAAGCAGTTTTAAAAAGGCTAGGGGTGTAGCTCAGTGTGCAGATCCTGGGTTCAGTCCCCAGCCATCCCATGCCCTAGGAGCACAATAAAGCTGTCTGTACTCTCGCGGGACAGCCAAGGTTTGTGTCCTCGTGGGTCGGGGTGATCTGACGCTCCTCATGTGCAGACCAGCACACGCTGCCCCGAGGCTCTGCCTGTGTGTGCGCATTTGTAATCTAATAGTTTTAGTTTTAACGGTTTAAGCGTTAGTTTTAACGCTTCCCTCTTATTTAGTTTTAATAGGTTTAGTTTTAGTTTAACTAATTCAAGAGAAAACTGTATTTTTTTTTCTATTGGTGCATGGTTCTGTGAAGTAGCTATATTCTGTGTTTGAAAATTCGTAATTTTAAGAAATGTGAGGAATTAGTCAGATTTTATCAGTAAAATAATGTGTTGCTTATGTGTAATGAATGATACTGAGATAATTTATAATCACCTTTTAATATATTTTCATTCAGTTTCCTTATATTAGTTACCAATTTACTATAAGTAACTAGTAAAGTATTATTAAAAATATACTTGTAGGGTAGATGGTACTGTTAAAATTTGAGTCTATGCCTGTTTTATAGAGTGTACTAATTATGCTTAATTCAAATTACATACTATTTAGTGGTTGTGGAATTCTTTCTCTCTTTTACAGAGCGGTGAACACAGAAATCGAGGTGCACATTTGAGAAGAGACGGGACTGGCAGCCAGTAAGAAACACACATTCCGTTGACTATTAAGTCTAACACAGTTCTCATAGAATGCTTTAACAATGAGCTTTTCTTATTGGGCCTAATTATAGCCAGTAAACGAAAATAAATTATAGTTGTACTTTATTTTTTCTGGATCTGAGCCCTCCAAATCATCCTTGAGGCATACTAGAGGAGACTGGAAACTTCCTGTCATAGTTACTTTTTTGTTGCTGGGACAAAATATCTGACACTCAGAAGTTAAAGAAGGAAAGATTTATTTTAGCTCGTGGTCTGGAGAGGTTTCAGCCCATGGTTGCCTGGCTGCAAGGCGGGGCAGCACAGCAAGGGAGAAGGGGCTCTGCAAAGGCCCTGCAGAGAAGAAACAGTCATGCGCAGCGGGAAGGAAGCAGCAGTGCCTTTCTTGTGCCCCTTTTTATTCCACCCAGACTGCAAGCCTGTTTGTTGGTGCCACCTACACCCAGGGTGGGTCTTCCCTCTGCAGTAAATCCATCACCCACACCCACATCTGTGCTAAACCAATCAGGGGATTAATTCACCGTCACACACAAATGATCCAGTGTCACATACTCATGATCTAGTCACTTCTGAAAGCCCCACCTATGAGCACATAAGGTTTTGGGGGGACATCTAGATAGAAGCCATAACACTTGTTATAAATTATTATTTTAAACATTTGCTCTTGTGAATTTAGAGAATCAGTGTGCACTTTGGAGAGAATACTTCATCTGGCTGTCTCTTCCTCTTTGTGAAGTGACAGCAGCTGCAGTGGGTTCACTCCGTGTTACAGCTGCAAGCAAATGTGAGGTGCCCACAAGTTCCCACTGTCCAAGATTTGTAATTTGTGAACCCCAAGGAAAAACTCACTGCCTCGGACAGCGGCAGACACAGTGGGAACAGGTGCTACCAACCTGGTCTAGATTTCATGTCTGCCTTTCAATTGTGACATTAGGTGGCTTTTCAGTAAAATAATGATGCCAACACTTATTTTTGAAGATTACATATTAAAGTTGTGAATAAACTGATTAATTTATTTAGTTTTGCAGGGCTGGGGATAGAAGTCAGGTGCTCTACCACTGAGCTACGTCCCCAGCCCAAGCCCTGGAGTTTAGTTTGTTATGACACCTATATTTTGTAGTTCTTTTTCACACTCTAGGAAAACTGACATTAAAGGTCTTTCCCAAATGTTTACCAGTTTGAGTGAAGCCAGGGCTTACACCTAGAGAGCCAAATTCTAGATTGTAAGCTGTAAATCTGCTAGAATGAATAGGTAGCTTTGCTTTATTCTATGTATCTGGTAACCAGTGTTACCCTGGAGTGCTGTGAATGTAAGCTGTAAAGTTGAGAATCAATTGAAACATGAAAATCTTTATTTTAGGTCCCAACTAACATATAAAATATGATTAAAGGTAGAAAATACTTAAGCATAAATATTTCTTTTGGAAATGTGAATATCATATATTAGATATAAAATAGAATTCAAGATTGACTAAAATTGGAAAAATTTTAGAATCCTTAAAGGATTTATACATGTAAAAGTTTGTGAAAACACATATACTCTTCTTTCTTTTAATTAATTAAATTTTTATTAGTACATAGCAATTATATTCATCATAGGAGTTGGAATACATTCTTTTTTCTACTAAAGATATTTTCTATCTTGAATTACTGCTGAAATAGTAAAAATATTAGGGAGGCTTTAGCATTCACTGTTGTAGTAAAACATGATTTACCAGCCTACAGCCATTTTTAATCATAGGAAAATATTGATACAAGCCTTGCCTGAGATGGAATGTTTTATTTTTGAAAAATAAATTTTGATTTTGATCACACTTCCTTTCTAGGCATGCAGAGAACTTAGTAAGAAGTAATGGGAAAGAGAAAGACTCGAGAAAGAAGGTAAGGCAGCGTGCCCTAGGACTGGCACACATACGTCACAGTAGCCCTGTGCCTGTGCCTGCTTATTTGGCAGCAGGGACGGGACAAGCACTTGCCAGGGCCTCATTTGAGTGGGGATCTCCAGGGGCACACTAAGGATTCACTTCAGATTAGGAGACTCAAATGGATTGAAAGTACAAAGATGAACAAACCATCAGACACGGTTGTGGGAGTGGTTGTCCTAGAATCAGATGAGCCAGAGACCGGAAGTATTGCTAGAGACAGACACTCCACAATGACCAAATATTAGTGCAGCAGGAAGATGTAACACTTTAAATGAATATATACCCAGTGAGATCCCCAACATACAAGAAAAATACTTGACAAAATTGAAGGGAAACATAAAAAATCCACAGTAATAGGCTTTAGCATCCCACTTTGAACTTTTTCTTGAACACCTTTTCTTGCTGTAGCAATTTGGACAAGTTAGATGAAAAGGACAAATTCCTAGACATTAATTACCAAAACTGCTTCAGGAAGTAGTAGTTTGAATAGACCTATCATGAGCAAAGAAATCATTCAGGGTTAAGAATGTTCCCACCAAGAAGCCGGCTGAGAAGGCTCCTTTTGCACATTGTGCCAACCGCTTGCGATTGTACTAACGTGACCTGCGGTCCCTCTCCTCACACCCTGCTCTCACGTTTAAACCGCTTGCATCAGAGTCACACTGTGTGCTGTTCTCTTCACTTAGTAAATCAGAATTTCTCCATGGTCTTCACTTTTTTATACCATTTCATAATTATAAGAATAATCTTCATAATTGTTATATAATACCTGTAAAATAGTACATCTTAGGGTTATGGTTATCATCAAACTATTTTTCTAGTTTTTGATTCTGTTACTACAAAATGTGGCAAACCTACTTTGGCTTCTTTTGAATTATTTCTGAAGATTAATTTTTCTTTCTGTGATTTAATTGGAATTCCTGACCTTGTGATAATCGTATGTAGCAACGTGGGCCCGCATTTCTGAATGTCTTGTGTCCTGAGCACGTGCACGAAGCAGGTCGCTGCGCGGAAGTAGGTCAGGGGAGCCTGTGCTTCATTCGTCTGGCATGGGGGACGGAGGTCAGATCACTTGTTTTTTTTTTTTTTTGTCTTTTTGAGACAGGGTCTTGCTATACAGTTCAGGCTGAACTTGAGCTCACTTTGTAGCCCACGCTGGCCTCGAACTCACAACGATCCTCCTGCCTCAGCCTCCCGAGTACTGGGATTACAGACGTGCGCCACGACGCCCAGCAGTTGTGACCTAGCTATACCCTCACCTCAGAAAAGTGTGCTTTTATTTCTTGTACTATAATCTTTTATGACTGTATGTCAATATGTATATTTGGAAGTTTGTTTTACACACAAACATGTACTATGCAGTGCTGTTTCCCTCTTTGTTGTGGAAATCTTTCAAATTCAAACAGTCTAGATCTGCTTCTCTGCTTCATTCTTTGTGTGGGTAAATTTCTTTTTCTTTTCTTTCTTGCTTGCTTGCTTGCTTTCTTTCTCCTTCCTTCCTTCCTTCCTTCCTTCCTTCCTTCCTTCCTTCCTTCCTTCCTTCCTTTTTTTGTTGTGTTTTTGAGACAGGGTTTCACTATGCAATTTAGGCTGGACTTGAACTCCTTTTGTAGCCCAGGGTGGTCTTGAACTTGCAGCAGTCCTCTGCCGCAGCCTGCTGAGTGCTGGGATTACAGTTGTATACCCCTACACTGGGCCAATGGATAGATTTCTTGAAGTAGAATTGTGGAAATATTGGATGAAGGGGTATAGTTTTTTTGTTGTTGTTTGTTTTCTTCATGTCTCCTAATGTTTTCTATAAGCTCCCAACTGGAATTATTCACCAGAATTATAATGTGAACCACATTCATAATTTAAACTATTGTAGAAGTCATATTAATAAGGTAAAAAAGACTTTAATTTGAATAGCATTTGTAATCCAAAGAATGTAAAATAGTGTCCTTTTAACATCTAATTCATATAAAATTATCTAGATTTTTTGATTCTTTTTTTTCCCAGAGGCATGAAATGTGTTTTTCCCAAGACGGAGTCCCAAGGGGACCTTGGTCTCTGGCTTGCTGTCTGTATGATTGCGATTAGGGCCTGTATTTAATGGCACGAGTTTATTTTGGTTCAGTTCTTCAGCATGTGCGGAGAGCCTGCTCAATGGCTGAGTACTGTCTGGGTCCATGGAGAATTCTGCTGTCCTCACAGAGCCTGCCCTGTGCTGCCATCGGTGTCTACCCTGCATGGTTTTGGGTAGTGATCTCTTGGTATCAGACCATCCTAGGGCCAGTGACAGCAGCAAGCGATGTCTGCCATCACTGCCTATGCGTCATTTTATCCAGTCCTCTCACTGGCACTTTGAAATATGTACTGTAATTCTTATTTTCTAAAGAAGATGGTCAAGGCACAGAGAGGTTTAGTCACTTGCCCTGAGTCACACAGCTCATCAGCCAGCCCCAAATTTCATAGTCTGTACCCCCAGTGCTGAAGGTAGCACTCATGGGAGGAATGGGGATGGCTTTCTGTGGTCCTGGGGCCTCCCCAGTGCTTGCGCTGATGGTGGCTATCCTCTGTCCTCCAGCACAGCCATGAGGAAGGCCTGGCTGCTTGGAAGTCAGCTCCGAGGCAGGGAGCTCAAGAAGCTGTGGTAAGGAGCGCCTGTCTTTTCACCTGTTCACAGTCCCATCCAGTACAGCCTTTGTCTTACTATGGTTTTGTTGGTATCATTATTCTTCCCTTTAGTAGGACGGATATGCAGGGTTAGACAAGACCTTAACATGGATTTTGTCTGCATCAGTTTGAACACCCTCCTTGTGCTGAAGCTGTGCCTGGTTATGGGGTGGGAGGAGGTGCAGATCTGACTGCAGACTTAGATGTGCAGCCCATGTTGCCTGAAAATAAGACCTACCCAGATAATAGACTTCAGCTGTAATTAATACCTGATCATTACGATTGTGATGGCCAGGGTCATGCAGAAGATTCTACCTCACTCTCCTCTTGCTCAATGGCTACTCCGTAATTCCAGGTAAGGGAAAGATGAGCTCATTGGAGATGGCATTTTTGATCGCTAGTTAGGTCTTATTTTGGAGGGTAACATGGTATCACAGGAGAGGGGTCTCGACATATAGTTCAGGAGGCTGGCCTTGAACTCACTATGTAGCCCAGGCTGGCTTCACACTCTCAGCGATTCAGCCTCTTGAGTGCTGGGATTACAAGCATATGCCACCTCATCCGGTGGGGGCTAGCACATTCCTGTGGGTACAGGCAGCCTTCTCAGCCCTGGTGGCATCTGAATTGAAGGAAGGTGGGGGATTTGAGGAGTTAAACGGAGAAATCACAAACCACATGCTTCAGGCTATTGATGGTGAGTAGGTAATTTTCAGATATCCATGTGAAACCAGAGAGAGAAAGAAATGCAGGCATCCTCCCTGTGAGAAAGTTGATACTGAGTGACTGCATGTCTTGTGGGATCAGTGAGGTGTAAGGCACATGTGCTGTCTCTGGTGGTGCCTCCCAGGGTGCCATAGAGTTGGAATCGCACACCGCGAGCCTTTTTACTTAGTAGTAAATGGGTTGATTTCCTCACTTCTTTTTTGTGCTGAATATATTCCATTGTCTGGATACCCCACCTCTTGAAGGACCCTTGGTTGGTTGCTTTGGATTTGGGCAATTGTGAATAAAGCTGCTGTTTACATCTGTGTGCACATGTTTGTGTGGACATAAATATTTTCTCCTTTAAGTAATTACTGAGGAACATTCTTGTTAGATTGTTTGGTAAAAGCATGTGTAGTTTTGTAAGGAGCTGCCTGGTGTCTGTCAAAGTAGCTGTGCTGTTTTGCATCCTCCCTGCAGCCCTGCTGCCCATGTCCACTCCAGCACCTGGTATGGTCAGTGTTGTGGTTTCGGTCATCTTAGTAGATGCACCCTGGTATCTCCCTGTTGTAACTTGCAGCCCCACCATATGTGATGTAGAGCATCTTTGCATGTGATTAGCCTGTCTCTGATCGTATTTGTTGAGAGAGATGTGAAGGTCGTTGGCCCATGTTTTAATTAAGCCTCTTATTCTTTTGCTGTTGAGTTTGAGAGTTATTTGTATGTTTGGATAACCATCTTTCATCAGACATTTCTTTCACCAATGTTTTCTTCCAGTCTGTGGCTTGGCTCCTTTTTGTCTTGACAGTGTCTTCCCCAGAGCAGAAGGTTTTCATTGTAATGAAGTACAGCTTATCATTCTTTTCTTTCGTGAATTGTGTTGCATCTAAAAAGTCATCACCGTGTTAAAAATCAGCTGGGTTTTTTCCTGCCGTACCTTCCAGGAGTTTAGCATTATATTCTCCGCACAGGCCCATGCTGTTTTGGTTTTGTAAGGGAAAGGTCTGTGTCTTGGTTCTCTTTCTTATGTTTCCGTGTGGCCGGCCAGCAATTCCAGCACTGTTTATTGTTTTGCTCCATGAGGTTGCTTTTGCTCCTTTGTGAACAAATAGCTGACTGTAGTTATGTGAGTGTGTTTCTGGGCTCTGTGTTTTGTTCTCACTGCATCTGTCTCTTCTTTGGTCAGCACCATACTGCCTTGATTGCTGTGGCTTTGCACTAAGTCCTGACATCAGGCAGTGTCAGCCCTCTAGCTGTCTTTCTCCTTCACAGGATGTTGACTTTTCTGGTTCTCTGGTCTCTCCAAAGAACTTATGGAGTTAGTTTGCTGATATCTACAAATTCATTTACTGTGATTTTGTTTGCGATTGCATTGAATCCATAGAATGAAGTTGGGTAGAACTGATGTCTTGACAATCTTGCCTCTTCTTATCAATGAACATGAAATATCACTCTTCTTATCTAGTTCTTTGATTTTGCTCAGCAGAGTTGCAGTTTTCTTCATAGAGATCTTGCACATATTTTGTTAGATTTGCACCCAAGCATTTGATTTGGGTGGTATTAATATAAACGGTAATGTATTTAAATTTCAGATTCCATTTGTTCATTGACAGTTTATTGGAAAGCGATTGCCTTTTATTTATTAACTTTGTCCTGTAACTTCGTCCTTACCATTACCATGACTTCATTTCCTTTTCTTGTCCTATTACATTAGCTAGGACTTCCAGTGTGATGTTGAAAAGGGTTGGTGAGAAGGGATGTCTTTGTTTTGTTCTGATCTTGTTGAGAAAACTTTTGAGTTTCTCAGCAATGAGTGTGATACTAATTTTAGATTTCTTCTCTTGCTATTTACCAAGTTGAGGGAGTTCCCCTTTATGTTCAATTTGCTGAGAACTTTATCATGAATGGAGTCTGGATATTGCTGGATGCTTTTTCTGCAGCTATTTATATGATCATGTGATTTTTCTTTTTTGTTGATTTAATAGATTTGATTGTTTTTTGAATGTTGAACTAGACTTGCCTACCTGAAATAAATCACATCTGGTTGTGGTGTATAATTCTTTTTATACATTGTTGGGTTGTGTTTGGTACAGTATTTTTTATTTTTTAATTTTTTTTGGTTTTTCTCCGGTACCGGGAATTGAACTCATGACCTTGCGCTTGCCAGGCAGGCGCTGTGCCGCTGAGCTAAATCCTCAGCCCCTGGTACAGTATTTTTTAAATGAGTTTTGCATCTCTATTCATGAGACCTATTGGTCTTTTCTATCCTTTTAATAGCTTGGTCTGGTTTTGGTGTCAGGCTAGCGCTGGCCTCAATGAATGAGTTAGGAAGTGTTCCCTCTGCTTCCCTTCTTACAGAGATTGTAGGGAGTTGTATAATCTCATGCTAAACATTTGATGGGAGTCACAATGCCAGCACCTTCTAGTACCAACTGGGTGATGCTTTCTATTCTAAAACGTTGTTGACTGTTGAGTCACTTTGTTCCATAGATGTAGGCCTGTTCAGATTGTTTATTCTGGTATGAACTCTGGAAGCTTGTTTCTTAAAAAAAAATTGGTCCAGTCCACCTAGGTTATCAAGTTTGTGGGCAGATAGCTCATAGTATTCTTTGGCCATCCCTTTGATGTCTGTAGGATCTGTAGTAATGTCTTCTCTTTCTTTTCAGATACTAATAATATGGTTCTCTTTTCCATAGGAAACTTGGCTAGAGTCTTACTGGTTTAGTAATATTAAAACCCCAGCTGTCTCAGGCACTAATCCCTCAGTCTAATGGCACGTGTGAGTGGAGTGGAACATGCTTGTGTCTGGAAGGTCAGAAATGAATATTCCAGTGTAAGGCACAGGAGACTCTTTGTAGCATAAATAATTGATTTTGTGGTATTGTTTACTGTGCAGCATTTTTCTAAGTTCCAGAAGTGAAAGATCACACTTCTCAATGGTGAAAGACACACTTGAGCAATGAACTGGCTTCTTCCTGAGCTCTGTGTGTGTACCTCTGTCTTCTCCTGGTTGTTCCACTTGTCCTCTTCACACACACTGTACCTGAACTTTTTTTGTCTTGCATCCATTTATTGGCTGATGACAAAGATATCTGCTCAGGTTTTAGAACTTGGAGCCTCTTTTTCTTTTTACCCTAACCCCAGGTCACTGTTGCTTTCCTGATCACTGATGCTGGGTGTCTTCTCCACCAGGCTGGTAGTTTCTATCTTGCCTCATTTGTACTCCATGCACCAGAATGACTGTATTGTGGGCCACTTGCCATATCCGTGATAAAAGTGTAGCTCATGGACCTGTGTGTGGTGTATTTCACTCTCTGCTGTTGGTGATGGGAGCTACTTGTGCTCTGTGAACATGTGTGGCATGTTCTACCGTCTGCTTTAGATACTCTAAGTAATGGAGAGTATTTTGGCTCTGAGAACCTGTGTGTTCTGTTGTCTGACTGTCTGCTGTAGGTGACAGGGAACTACCTTGATTTTGAGCGTGAGTGTGGCATTGGTCAGATATCTTTCCTAGAAGGGCACCTCTGTACTCAGTGAGAATCAAGAGGGGGCACAGGAGGAACAGAGAGCGCCGCATGGAGGGTGACCATCCAGATGGAGAGGAAGAGGACGGGTCCCACAAGGAATGCTGATCCCATGGTCAGGTGGGATGAATAGGAAGAGCGGGGTTGTGGGGAAGGTGGAGCAGCACTGTCAGTAAGCGGCAGGTAAAAAGCAGATGCAGAAAAAGGAGGGTGGGTTATTCATGGTGAGAAGGGTGGCTGCACATCTGGCTTTCTTTTTTTTTTTTTTTTTTTTTTTTTTTGTTTCCGGTACCAGGAATCGAACTCACGACCTTGCACTTGCCAGGCAAGCGCTATGCTGCTGAGCTAAATCCTCAGACCCTGGCTTTCTTTGTTTGTGTAGGACTTTTCTCCCTTGGTATTAAAAAGTTTTCCCCAAAGGTCGATGTTTATTAATCATTTTTTGTTGGTCACACCAGTAACTTAACAAAGGTCTTTTGTTTCTTTTCTTTTCTTTTTGTATACTTGAAATTCTTTTTGGAAAAAAATCTTTCTAAATATATTTATTTAAAAAAACTTCTTTCCTAAATTTATTTTTAGGTAACATAGAAAAAGATAAAATTTGTATAAATTAATGTGGTATGACAGGATGTTCAGTGTATCTATATATTGTATAATGTTTGCATCTGGTTGAAGACAAATGTATCCTCAGCATTTATTGTTTATTCATGGTTTAACTTTCAAAATGCTTTCTTCTATCTCTGTTCAGTGTTCAGTATATTTTTGTTAGAAGAGTATTTTTTATGACATTTCAAGGATAGATTATGTTATTTATATTAATACATTTGAAAATTAGCAACATCAGGAGAATATCTGAAAACACGTACTTTCCAAAATATTTGCAGTATTCAAGTTTACAATTTAAAAAAAAAGTTTACAATTTATTTTTGTCGTGTTTTGTTACCTTTAGGAAATTGAGAAGGAAGACATTGATTTAGAGAATGCTGGAGTTGATGAATACCCTGTCACTTTTGAAGATGATTTTGAAGCAAGTATAAAAGTTAAATTTTTATCTTAAATGTATATATTCTGAAAAATCAGCTTGTGTAATTGCTTTTTCCCTTCTTCAAATATTGTTAATATTACTGTCTGCTAAGTTTTGATTTACATCCAGCTGTTACATATTGGAAACTTGTTATACTTCTGTTAGCTTGTTGATATGATGTGATTAAATAATTTTATAGTTTAACTCATTTTTAATTTTGTTGCATTCATGTGTATGTGTGTGTGTAACTTTGCTCATATATACACTTCCACATTTTTGGTAGGATTGTTTACACATTATTGTTATGAGCAGCTCAGGATGTCTTTTATTGTTTATTTTGTGGCACATTTTTATAGAAGAAAATGCAGCAGTACATACAAATTTATCATTCAGTAATGTTAAAATCCACGAACTGTAACATCTTCTTTAGCCTTAATGAGGACTTTGCAGTGATTCAATTACAGTGATTCTCATTACAATGATTTGATCTGTAGGAGGGTTACTGAATGTTTTTGTCTCAGAGGTGTGAAAACTGTTGTTTGTAGGACTATGAAGATGATTTTGAAATTTGTGATGGAGATGATGATGACAGCGAGTCTGAATCAAAAGAAAAAGTTGAAGAACTTTCTCTAGCTCGAAAAAGGGAAATACAGGAAATTCAAAAAGCAATTCACGCAGAAAATGAAAGGATTGGCGAGTTGTCTTCACAGCGCTTTCAGAAGCAGGGTTCGATGGAGCATGCCAAGGACTCCTGGGCAGGTGCGTGGTCAGTGCTGGGCACAGGGCCTGTGCTCTGGTGAGCCCCGGTGACATCTGCTGCAGGTACAGTCACTACAGCAAGGCGGGCCGACAGCTCAGGGCCTCGTGTGTCTTGACGGTGCCATGCCCCAGCCTGTGACGCCGAGCGCTACTCGGGTAAGAACCCTGTGTCTAAGGACCACTGTGAAAAGAGGTGCAGTCACTTTTCAGTGCAGCAGTGAAGCCCGAGGGTGGTGGTGAGCACTGTACTCGCTGTCCCCAAGTGCACGGTGCTCTCTGCCTGTGAACGCGCGCCCTTGTTATTGCTGATAGTGCGCACGCTGAGTGTCCACAAAGAGCAGCCCCAGTGATGGCAGCAGGCGCAGAGGCCCAGAGGGGAGGTCCTGGCCAGCAGGCAGAAGCTCAGGGTCAGCAGACCCAGGCATGGCCTCTCAGGAAGCGGACTTCTCGCTGGGCCTCTTCCTGGGATCTCTTTATAGATTTGGGACTATGTTTTCCCTCAAAATTCTTAGCATTAGACCATGATAAGTTACTTATAAAAGCAGGAGAAAGTGTTTTAGAATCACTTAATGATAAAATATTTGCACTAAAAGAAGCACTAAAAGTAAAATAGAGCATTACAATCAGTATCTGGTGATATACTACCTTAAATCACCTTGTAATTAGTAATGAGCTAATTATAATCAGTAACTAGTAAGTGTGAGAATGCAAATGAAAGTCTGGAAGAATCATTACTCTCGCATTTTGTGCCTGCTACAGAGGTGGTGAAACTGGTGGGCAGTGCAGATATTTAGGTACTCTTTGAATTCATAATAAAAACATCCTGGTAATGGTAGGAACTGTGAGGCCCAGGTCTCCACCCGTGACTTAACTGCAGAGCAGCCACTGCTCATGGTCCCATGTGCCAGCCATGGGCGGCGTCTCTTCATCCACAGCTCATGGCCCTGGAGGAGTTGCTAGAGTGAGTGAGATTTTATCCTTAAAGCTTTTGCTTTTCTC